ACGATAACTGTAATAACTATACCAATAACTGTAATTATGAAAACTATACAGATAACTATAATTATAAAAATACGATAACTATATAATTATAGCTACAATGATAACGATAACTATTACCATAACTACAATTGTATCAATATTTGTTATGTTATTATAGCTATAATTATAATATACAATTACTATATTACAACTAAAAACAATAACTGTGATAACTAATTATAAATATAACTACAATGATAACTGTAACAAAGACTGTACTTAAAACTATAATAGCTATAAATTTAACTATACTGATACTTAATATTGATATAATTGTAATGATAGATACCTAACTATATCGACATCTAACAATTATAACTATATTATTAACTATACTATAACCACAATGATAACTATAAATGTAATGATTAAAACAGCAATAACTATAATGATAATTATAACAATACCTATAACTATTTGTATCTATAATGATAACTAATTATAACTATAACTATGACTAGCTGTAAGTGCTGCTGCCCAGTGTAAATTGTTAAATTTTAACGTGTGATCATGCCGCGCAGGAATCCTGAAGAAGAAGCAGCTGTCGCCCATCGCCGAGAGGAACGCCATCAATCACATACACAACCAGCTGTCTGGAGACTCCGCCTCCTCACGGGGCCCCTCCTCCAGCGAGGGCCGAGGGGGCGGGGCTAGACGGGATTATCAGAATGGGGCGTCCACGAGCGGAATGACGAAAATGCTCGACAACGACTCGTCTGAATCTGAGTGAGTGATTGACGTCCACTGATCTGTGCTCTTACTGTGACTGATTCATCAGTGACATTACTGTCAAATTTATATTAGAAAATCACAATGTTAATTTTAGGATATTATAATATCTTTATGCCTTATAGGGTTAGGGTTAGCTGGGTGATAATATAGTTATATTTTGCGATGAAATATAAAACTCAAGCAGTGGAGATTTGCTACATAGTATATAGTTTTACGAGTGTACTGTATGTATGCAGATAAATATATATCCAACTTTATATAAAGTGCTGTGCAATAATAGTTTAAATTTTGATATATATCCAACTATACTATATATCCAACTTTATATATAGTGCTGTGTGATAATATAGTTACATTTTGATATATATTCAACTATACTATATATCCAACTTTATATATAGAGCTGTGTGATAATAGTTTACATTTAGCTTTATATGCAACTATACTATATATCCAACTTTATATATAGTGCTGTGCGATAATATAGTTATATTGCTATATATGCAACTATACTATATATCCAACTTTATATATAGAGCTGTGCAATAATAGTTAAGTTTTGCTATATATGCAATTTTGCTATATATCCAACTTTATATATAGAGCTGTACAATAATAGTTAAGTTTTGCTATATATGCAACTATACTATATATCCAACTTTATATATAGTGTTGTGCAATAATATAGTTACGTTTTGCTATATATCCAGCTTTCTATATAGAACGAAGTGATAATATAGTTAAATTTTGCGATATATCCAACTTTATTTATAGAGCTGTGCAATAATATAGTTACGTTTTGCTATATATGCAACTATACTATATATCCAACTTTATATATAGTGTTGTGCAATAATATAGTTACGTTTTGTTATATCCAGCTTTCTATATAGAACGAAGCGATAATATAGTTAAATTTTGCGATATACCCAACTATACTATACATCCAACTTTATAAATAGAGCTGTGCGAAAATATGGTTACGTTTTGCTATATATCCAACTATACTATACATCCAGCTTTCTATATAGAACTAAGCGATAATATAATTACATTTCGCGATATATCCAACCATACTATATATTCAAGAGCTGTGCAATAAAATTGTTTACATTTAGCTTTATATAGCCAATTATACTACATATCCAACTTTATATGAAAGAGCTGAGATAATATAGTTATGTTTTTCAGTATATTCTTCTATACCATATATCCAATTTAATAAACAGAGCTGTGCGATTTTATACTTGACATTTTGCTGTATATCCAACTTTATATATAGAGCTGGGTCATAATATATCATATAACAAAATTGTACAAAATAACACTTTGCGATGAAAATTTTCAAGTGTCGACGAATCAGGTATCGACAGATGTGTGTTTTTCTTTGCAGATGCTGATGAGTGACGAGGGAATGAAGAGGCGAAGAACAATCGTCCTGTTTCTGTCCCTCCGTTTGATTTTTCCTACATATGATGCGACAGTTGATCTGATTCTCCGTGCCAAACGCTGACGAGAATCTGTCGTTTTTTACATTTTTGTTTACATACTTGGAGCGAAGCACTTTTTTTTTTTTCTTTCGTCCTCTCGTCGCATCGAAACCACATTTTGAAACGGACATTTTGTAAATGAGTAAAAAAAATATCAGGGAATTTCCTCCATGAAGCTAAACTACTGCTGGACTGAGCTGCTGCTGCTGCTGTACGAGCGATAAATGAAGGAACGAACCATGAGAAGGAACCGACTCCTGATTCAAGCCTTTCACTCGTGTTCGCGATGCCTTCTCCACCAGCAGGGCCTTTATTTCGTACCGTTGGAGGAGAGCAACACTTTCCATACTCGCTTTTTTGTACATTTTGGGGACATTTTTATACGAACTTTTAAAAAGACTGACGTTTAAAACCTTTTGAAAGAAACCCTTTGTATTTTATAGATTA